AGAATGCTGAAACACATGCTGCTGTACAGTATGTTGAAAGGTAACGCTGAACACCTTTTTATTTTTTCAAACGATGTCATGCAGGACTGCACTACTCTGTAAGTGCATGGCACAGTGAAGACTTAATGAACCACTGTATCAAACATACAGTTAATCTCATTTAATAATAAAATTTCCTGTGCATCATAGTGTACAGTAACACTAACAGGATTTTTCTTTTCTTGCATTAAATACAGTATACAGAACTATTAATAATTGTGTATAAACAGTAATTAGAAAATTTTAATTTAGGTTTTGAATGATAAAATCTATTATACATGGTGGCTTTAAAATATATTATTTCGAAGTAAATAAAAAGAGGTCAGTAATTCTGAATTACTACAAGCTCTTCATTTTCCATCGCAACAATTAAGACAGCAAAATCTAGTTTAAAAAGCAAGTGAGAACATTTCCAAACTAAGCACAAAGTTAAAGAATCTGATGCAGATGTATCTGAAGAAAGTGGAACCACAACTAGTTAAAAATAAATGTAATAAATGTAAATGACATTTCAATGCACAATCTGAGTGGCTGCATTAGTAGGTGCCTGTTTCTGCTTTATTGGGATATTAATGGTAAATGCTGTCTTCATGCAAGGGTGTATTTTTAAATATATATATATTCATGATCGTAATTAAATTCAAAAGTTTGAATTGATTAAAAAAACATTAAATCTTTTCTTTATGACCAGAAAGATCCTAACTATTGTTACATTCATTTTACTAAATACAGGCATGTATTGCTCCATCTACAGACAGGCATGTTTAGAGACATAAAAAAAATACAGTTAATTACAAGTCCCTTAGCTTAGTCATTTACAGTACAATACTATATTGTTCACAGATAAATGTAGTTACAAATAACGAATGTTATTAAACAAAAGTGCAATAAATACATGTATTTTTTTCTTCAACACATAAAAGGCATACTATCTATCAATACTTTTCCTTATAAAAGGCATTTTTAGAATTCCTGCACATGCTGTGCTTCTAAGCATGTAAACAAATCAGTACTCTCAAGACCTATTGAAAGCCACTCAACATACTGTATGAATAAAGTAGCAACTGAAATTGTGACAAATATGAGTAACGTTTTGCTCTTCTGGAAAGGAATGGTCTATTGTTTTGTGCTGAAATACAGCCAAACACATTCAAAACAACTATTATTATTAAGACAGTAATGCATCACAGGGTCCTAAGATTGTGCAACAGTAGTAACACAAAACATTTAAATTTAGAGTAAGATTACTTGTGCCATGTAAAAGTAACCTAAATTGAGCAAACAAAGTTTAACAAAGTTATAAGGATGACTCTTTGTGGTCACTATAGCAAAAACCCTGGCTGCACAATTCAAAGAAAGATGAAACGTCAGTGCAGTATACTGTACTGCACAATATATGGTGTCCTTTAAAATCAGCTACATGTGATTTCTTTTGAGGTGGAAATGTTCTATTAGTTTAATGCATAGAAATATTTAAATAACTGTATAGTAAACTAATAGAATATTTAGTATAATACAAAATATTTTACTGTATATTAATCTAACAGAAAATTTCCATCACAAAAGAAATAAAACATTAACTATGGTTTATGGGTGGTATTAATTTCATTAGTACGATCTGGCACAGCCTTTTGTATTATGGTTCCACATAGTAATGTGACATCCAGGGAATCTTGCCATGTCTTAATATTTGCAATTTTAAAAAATTACATTTTGTTCTGATAAAGTTGGTTTTCACAGATGTGTACTTTTGTTACATTTTTTAGTAGCACATATAATTTATGAGCAATTGATTTGAAGTGGTTCTCCAGTTGGTTAGATTAGTATTTTGAATCCTACACAGCACACAAATCAATACAAAAAGCCATATTTATTGACAGTAAATTAAAAATACAAGCCAATCTAAAGGCTGCTTTCACAAACATAAAGACTGGGTTATATCACATGGAGTTAAGTGCACAATTGAATGGATTTTCCCCATTGTACAGGACAATGTAAGAAGATTTTTGTATATCCCTGAATTTTTGTGGTTTACAACTGCTCCTGTCCTATATACAGTGGTGTGAAAAAGTGTTTGCCCCCTTCCTGATTTCTTTTTCTTTTGCATGTTTGTCACACTGAAATGTTTCAGATCATCAAACAAATTGTCTAATATTGCAAAGATAACACAAGTAAACACAAAATGCAGTTTTTAAATGAAGGTTTTTATTATTAAGGGGAAAAAAAATCCAAACCTACATGGCCCTGTGTGAAAAAGTGATTGCCCCCTAAACCTAATAACTGGTTGGGCCACCCTTAGCAGCAACAACTGCAATCAA